TGGTGATGGACAGGGAGGCCTGGTGTGCTGCTCTCCATGGGGTCACAAAGAGTCGGACATAACTGAGTGACTGAACTGAACTGAACTGAATGATAATGAATATACTACATATCAAAATTTTAGATGTGGAAAGCATCTAAAGTTGTGCTGCTTAAGGGGAATTTTATCATTTTAATTGCACATAGATATAAAAGAAGGAAGGCTAAAAAATTTGATGAATTAAGGAAAATAAATCAGAGAGAGAAAGACAAACATCACATGATTTCTCATAGGTGGAATCTTTAAAAAACCAAAAGCAAACAAACAAACAAAAAACTAATCTCATACAGAGAACAGATGGTGATTGCCAGCAGTGGGAGTAGGTGATGGGAGAAATGAGTAACTTATTCTTGGTTTTGTTTTTAGTTTAAACAAATGGAAAAAAACACAACCTAAGTGCTTTGTGTCATTGTTTTCAGGATTCTTTCTTCTCAGGAATGTTGTTATTCATGCATTTAAGAAAAAAAAAAAAGAGTTCAGCTTACACAACATTAAGAACTAAATTATTACACCCACCCTGCAACCCTGCCACACACACACACACACCTATTAGAATAGCTAAAATTGAAAACACTACCACCACCCAATGCTGGCAAGGATGTGGAGCGACAGGAACTCACTCATTGCTGGTACGGTCACCACGGAAGACAGTGCGGCAGTTTCTTACGAAATGAAACATACTCTTACCGTATGATCCAGCAATCACTCTACAAGGTGTTTATCCAATTGAAAAACTGGATAATTCTTCAATTATTGAAATTGAAAAATTACACCTGTGTAAAAACTTATATATAGAGTTAATAGTGTCTTTTTTCATAATTCCATAACTTGGAAGCAATCAAGGGCCGTCCTTTAGTAGGTAAATGGATAAACAGTGGTATAGCATACAATGGAGAGCTATCCAGCAATAAAAAAACAAATGAGTTATTAAGCCTTTAAATGATAGGGAAGAAATGTTAATGCATACTGTTAAGTGAAAAAAAATAGTCTATTTCAATGAGATAGAAAATCATAGGAAATTAAACTCAAAGAAAGAGAAGGAAGGAATGAAGACATAAACTGATGAAATAAAATCAAACATGTTATAATCCTAAACTCATTTGATGGAGCTGCTGGAAAAAAAAAAGGTAAAAACAGTCAATGTCAGGAATGAAAAAAACCTTTACTGTAAGTCCTGCAGATCTACAAAATTATAAAAAGATGTATTAAACAAATTTATGTAAATAAAGTTAAAAATATAAATGAAGTAAATTTCTCAAAATATACATGTAAAAATTGACAGAATACAAAATTTAAATAGCCTTCCATTGTTAAAAACATTAACCTATAATTTAAAACTACAATTAAGAAAACTCTAGGCACAGACGGCTTGAAAGAAACAATCAAGGCAGAAATAATGGCAATCATTCACAAATCTATTCAGAGCATAGCAAAACCCCCTACCATTTGCTAATTCATGTTAAGGTGCTAAAATAATCCTGACCCCCCCCCCCAAAAAAAAGAAAATCAACAACACTGACAGGAAATCCCCAAAAGGAAATTTTAAAGCTGGTCTGATTTGTGAATATAGATGTAAATATTCTGAACAAAAATAGCAAACTTATCCATTAACATAAAAATGGAAAGCTGGTGATTTGCTTGGCCTGAACTGGAAAGCCAAATCAATTTATTTACTGGCATTTTTTCCTGAACTTCATTTCAGGAGAAATGCCTTTTTTCAGTTCTTGTTAAGTTTGCTTTATATACATATACAGCAGTATAAAAAAAGGTTAATATATATTGGGCGTATTCCTGAAAGCAAGGATGGCTGAAGATTTGAAAAGCTATGCAATTCACATGAACAGAGTAAGGGAAAATCATGTGATTTTTCTGGTTGCTTTCAGTACATGATGTTGATCAAATCCGTGACAAAACCTCTTAACAAATCAGGACTAAAAAGGAATTCTGTTAAGCTGAAAAAGGATATCCTCACTCAAAAGAATATTCAGCAAATATCAGACTTAAGGGTAAAATATTGAAAGCTTTTCCTCTGGCATTAGGACAGACGAGTGTATTATTAGTTTCCTAGACTTGCCATAACAAAGTACCACAAACTGGGATCATTTCAAACAACAAAAATGTATTGTCTCACAGTTCTGGAGGCTAGATGTCCGAAATGAGGTGCTGACAGGGTCATGTTCTCCTTAGGGGAGGGTCTTTCCTGGCCTCTTCTTGGCTTCTGGTGGTTGCCAGCTATCCCGGGCATTTCTTGACTCATAGATGTACCACTCCAATCACTTTCTCTGTCTTCACATGGTGTTTCCCCCGGGCGGGGGCGGGTGGGGTGTGGTTTCTTTATCTCTCCTCTTTTTACAAGGACACTAGTCACATAACCTACTTCAATAGGATCTCAACTTGATCACATCCGCAAAAAAATGCCCCTATTTGGAAATAGGGTCACAGTCACAGATACTGGGGTTTCTGACTTTGATGTACCCATTTGAGGGCAAAATTTAACCCCCCAAACAAGGACTCATCCTATAGTCACTTCTTTTTCTACTCAAGGTCCTGGTGGCAAGAAAAAGAAATAAAAGGTATAAAGATTAGAAAGGAAGGAATAAAACTCATTATTTATGAATAATATAGTTGTCTGTGTAGAAAATCCTAAATAATTCACAGATAAATCATTGTAATTAATAAATTTAACAAACTAGCCTATTCAAGATTAATATACACAATTCTTTTACTATGACATAATACTAACAAACAGGTAAATAAATGTTAAAAAGATAAAATTTACAATAGCAAAAAACAAAACAAAGACCAAATACCTTGAAATCAACTTAACATTATATGTATAAGGTTTTTAGACAGACAACTATGAAATCTTACTGAGAGAAATTAAAGAAGAGGGAAATAAATGGAGGAATATGCCATGTTCATGAATGGAAGACACAATATTACAAATATGCCAAGTCTTTCCAAAAGGAGGTAAACAGGCAATGCAAATCCAATTAGAATCCCACTTTATGGAAACTGACAAGCTGATTTTCAAGTTTATATGAACACAGAAAGGGTCAAGAATAGCCAGAAATCTATTGTACAAAGTAAGAGGACTTCTACTATTAACTATGAAGACTTATTATAAGACTATTTTCATTAAGACAATGTGGTGTTGGCATGAAAACAGACAAATATGTCAGTGGGACAGAAAAGAGGGTGCACAGACAGACCCATATATGTAGGGACACTTATTCCATGACAGAAGTAGCATTACAGAGCAATAAGTAAAGAAGTCACTTTTCAATAAATTATGCTGAGACAATGGAATTCATATGGAAAAAAATTCGACCCCTAGCTTGTCCTATGCATCAAAATAGCTACACACAAAATCATGGATGAATTTCATAAATTTGAGCAAAAAGAACACGTAAGATTCCAGTCACACAAAGTTAAAACTAAACCTTATTGGAAGTTAGGATCATGGTTAATTTAGGGAGAAGAAAGTGTTAGCAACCGCAAGTGAACACAAGAGGAGTTTCTAGAGAGCTAGTGAATATTTCATTTCTTTAGATATGTGGGGTTCTAGCTGTATTTGCTTTTTGATAATTTGTTGATTTGTACATGTACATTTGGTTTATTTCTGTCTATTTGTATTAATCTTCCAAATATAAAAATTTAAGGAGAGAGACACACTCACTCACTGAACAAATATTTGTGGGTGTTTTTTTTTTTTATATATATATGCAGCTCGAACAAATATTTGTTGAGAAATCGCTATATACCTGACATTGTACTAGATTTGAATCAGGAGAAATAAATCCAGGCATAAGCCCTCTGATACCCTTAGCTTGCTACAAAAGGGGGATTCTTTCTTTATTGGGGGTGAGAGTGATGAGGAAAGCCATTAGATCCTTCACCGGACTGAAATATCAAAATAGCTCACAAGTGTTCTGCCCAGCCTTCAAACGTGGTGGTTACCCTTTGTATACATAATAAATGGTTCCAGTGTAATTTTAGACTACACTTAGTTACACACAGGAATCCTATCTGCTTGCTCAAGGAAAACCTTGGCTTGAAAGTCATGGCACTAACCCCTAAGAAAACCAAGAGAAAACTATCATTAATTTGTAGTTAATTTTGGCTCTATTACATTTAAAAAGTTCTTTGAAGTCCTAAGGCAAACAGCATTGAGTTTTAAAAACGTTTTCCTGATTATAAAATACTTACATGTTCAGTGTAGAACATCTGGGAAATCAGAAAATTACAAAGAAAACAAAAACCCATTATTCTATCACCATAGCTACTGTAAATGTTTTGGTACATTTCTTTCCGTTTTTAAAATGCCTTTATACATTTACACAATCGAGGTCCGATTTTGCAACATGAGTTTTCCATTCAAAAATATGAGTATTTCCCCATGTCATTAATTCCTAAACATAATTTTTTAAGTTTGTAAAAAGTATATCCCCAATTTGAATCATCTCAGTTAGAGGTCATTCGTCCTGTGTAATCGAGTAGAAACATCCAGGGTCTCAAGAGTTCTGAGAGGAGTCCAGAACTTAGCTAAAGCCTCAGATGGAACATTGGAACCCAGCAGACTTGGCAGAGGCTGCGGTCACAGAGGGGGACCCGTCGCAGCAAGCAAGATGCCAGGATGATCCGGAGCCCGGAGAGTCCTCCACTTTCCATCAGGTTTAACACGCGTCTACACTGTTAAGTTCCCGGCGATGCCCCAGCGTGCATCCCTGAGCTCCGGACGGAGCAGGCATCATCCGAGCGGCGCCAGCTCGCTCTGGATCCCCGCGCCCAGCGCACCCTCCATCCGCGCAGCGGTTGGCCTCGGCTCCGCGCTCCGTGGCGCGCCTCTCCGAGTCCCTAGCTCGGGTCGCTGGGCTGAACCTGGGAGGAGGCGCCCGAGGTTCCGGGCTTGCCCGGATAGCCGCGTCTGCATCACCCCCGCCCCTCGAGCCGGGAGCGCGCAGGCGCAGGCGGCCAGGCGTCCCGCCCGCAGTCCAGGAGTCTGCGGTCGCGCCCCAGCCGCTGCCGCTCGCGCCACCGCCACCGCCACCGCTCGTCATGGGCCCGGGTCTCCGGCTGCTGCTACGTCTCGTGCTTTGCGTGGGACTCAGCGCTCTCCTACCGTCCGCGGGAGCCTCGGGTTTCCGCAAGCGAGGCCCCTCGGTGACGGCCAAGGTGACCAGGCAGCGGGCAGCAAGATCCCCTCGCGCTGCCCGGGGGGACGGGGGAGCTTTGGGGACTGGAACCTCAGGGTCAGGGGCGGCGATCAGGGGGCTTCCCAGGCGCAGGGAATGGGAGGAGGCCCCGGGGCTAGGTGGTAGTGGTGGGGGTTCCCGCGCGCGCAAGTGTGTGGGGGGCATCCTCGCTCTCCTGGGAGACTTTAGGGGCGCTAGGCCGAGTCCGCCTCCGCCGCGGACTGTCTGAGCGTCATCTCCTGGGCTGGTGATCCGACGTGGCCACCGGCCCGCGAGCTGGGAGAAGCTTCCGGAACCGGCGAGCCCTTTCTCTAGGGAGGAGACAGCCGAGGACTTCCTTCGGCGCGGCGGGGACTTGGGAATAGAGGCAGGAAGAATGCAGGCGGGCGAAGGAGGCGCGCCGGAGAGGAGGGGTTGCAGCTGGGCCGCCCCCGCGGGTGTCACCCGGCCTCGCAGAGCCCAGGTCCAGTCCCTGTCGCTTGCGGTAGGGTAGGCGTTACGTGGCCTTGCTTAACCAAGGACTGTCCTCCCTTCCGCGTTTAGGAACCACCATCAATCCCCGGCAGGGAGGGAGAGGTGCGCTTTTCAGACTGGGGAGTAGACACAGGGCTTGGGGTGCTGTTGAGCGAGGCCCAGGAGGACCCTGCATGACTGAGGCCAGTCTTTAAATCTCGATGGGAGGTGGTGGGGTGGGGATCTGCCTCCTTACAGCTTCAGGTCTTTTTTCAGCATGTTTACCCAAGGTTAGAAGATAATGGGAGGATGCCTGGGAGACAGAGGGAGGAAAAGAGTGATTTGGTGCCCTTGATCACCACTTCTAGAAAACCCACTGGCAGGAGTGTCTTGGAATGTGGAAGGAGGAGCAGCTGCAGGTGGTCTTAACAATCGGCCCCCTGTCTGCCAGTAGAAATGACAGTGTTGGGTGCTTCGGTCCTCCACTGCAGACCCCACCGGAGGCGTGGGGAGGACTTGGGGCTGGAGAGGTTCAGCCCAACACCTGATGTAGCCCGAGAGTGAAAAGGAAGGCCCTGCTTGGGGTGGGGGTGGGGGTGTGTGTGTGCAGTGATAAATGAACTGTGGCTGGGAACCTCAGGGAGAGGGGAAAAAGAGTGGGGCTTCTTAGCCAGGGTGCAGTCACTGAGTGAATTTTCATGCACTCTATAGGTTTGGGATAGTCACTTAACACTATCTCCTTTTTTCCCCCACCCCTTTTATCATTGAGTTCTAAAAACTAACTGTGCAGGCATGTCCTGCCACAGATTCGATTCTGCTGAATCACTTTTTCAGTGGGGCATTTTAAGACCACTACTCTGTTGGGAAGTGGAAATACTGAAAATGATTTCTCTGAGTGTGGACAAGTAGATGAACTGGCCATCACTCTAGTGCATTGTGTGTTTTCCCCAGCAGTCTTTAGCTTTTCCTCTGAGAGTGTTTGAAAACAGGAATCTGTAAATGAGAGGTATGAAGTGCTGTCCTTCCCAGGGCGCTTTCTTGTCTGTGAATCTTGGTGCCGGCCACCACCTCAGCCTCCTGCCCAGTCTCGGAGCCTCACTGGTCTTGAAACCCACTCAGTTGGCATTTGCACCCTTGCATTTTCCAGCAGATGCCATGGGCTCTGTGCCGCGTCAGGCACCTGAGAGTGTAAAATAATGCTGCCATCTTTCCAGCTGTGCTCAAGTCACAGGTTGCTGTCACTTTCTGCAGTTCTCAGAGTGGCCAAGAGGCTTCAGTTGAAGTACTAACAAGTTACTGAGAATTCCCGAGGCTCCTCCTCTGTAAGTGGAAATAGAAATAATACCTGCTGCAAGGTTTTGCATATTAGATGTGATAGAGCAAGTAAAGTGCTTAGCCCTGATTGAAGTTCCTGATTTAAGAGGTCAACTGTTAGTGTTATTTGTGTTATCTTATTAATCCTTCTGGGGCAGGGCAGGTACAGATGAGGAGCAGGGGCTCAGAGTTGCCCAGGGTCCTGTGGCCAGGAAGTGGTGGAGCTGGTTTGAGAACAGTTTCCTTGACCTCCAGGCTCCTGCACTTGGTGCTTCTCCAGTTACTTTGGAAACAGAAGCACAATTAACCCTGCAAGGGTTTGGGGCAGGCTCTGAGAGGTCCTCTTGCCTCTTCCCCTGTCTCTTCCCACCCTCCAGTGCCCCATAATTTTCAAATGACTTTCAAGGGCAGCCTCAAGGGAAAAAAGGAGGGACCAAGGGGCCAGCTCTAGAAGTGCAATGTGGAATTGAAGTGCCACCTTTTCCAGGAAGCCTGCCCTGATCTCCACAGATAATCATCACCTCTCACCATGACATTTTATTTGTACATACCTTCTTTTAAAGCTTGACTTCCCATCACAGTGACTATCTCTGTGCTTTCTCTTCTGTGGGACTTTGCAGCCTCATCCCTTTCACAGGGCCTGTTCCCAAGGACAGGCAGCAAAGTCAGAGATGATCTTAGGGTAAGAGGGTTTGCCTGGCAACCACCCCAGGCCCACCTTACCGTCTGTTTAGGTGTGCGTATGCTCTGGTCTTCATTCAGTATTGCCTGACTTTTCTTTTTTCAGTACCTGCTTGAGCTGACACTGTGCTGGGCACTGGGGATCTAAAAATACCATTTCCACCCCTTCAGGTAGAAATTGCCTAGACAGAGAGAGCCACATTCATGACAAATCACAGCCCAAGTGAACGCAGCTTCAAATTGAAATTCTGTCTCTCACGTTCCTGGTATTGCCTAACGAAACTTGGAACTCTTAGCCAGCATCCTTCCTCTGCCTTCTGAAATGGGTGATCTTCCTTCTTAGCCGGTTGTGGTCAGAAGGGTTCTGTCACTTCTCTGCACGTGGATCCCTTTTCCTGCCTCAGTGCTTTGGTTCCAGAAAGAACTGCCAGGCGGGGCTTGTGCCCATTCTTGTCCCTGGAGGGTGCTCCCCTCCTTCCAGGCTTGCATCCCATCACACCTCTGTCAGGATGCCTTCCTTCAGCCCTCAGCATCCCTCCAGCACACTGGTATTCAGTGTTCTTGGGGCACTTGTCACCCGCAGCCTTGAGCTATGGGTGTTCATGTACTTGGCCTGTCTCTTTCCATAATCTCCCCGAGGACAGGGACTTCCTCCACTTATACCCTCACACTGCCTTCTGCCCAGATCTTTGACAAGTACTTAATAAGATTTGATTTTATCATTTCCATTAGTTAGGGCAACTCTGCTGCATTTTCATGCCATCATGCAAGAAGTTGAAGGATGCTGTGGTTTGGGAAAAAAACATCTTATTAATTCGTGTGCTAGGCCGCATGTAGGAAAACAAGATGGTTATTGGAGAGTTACGCTGGGTGACATAGACACTTTTTCTTCATCTTCTCATGCTGTCCTCCCACATTTTATTCTCTTTGCTGTTGAAATGTTCACAGGCTTTCTTTTCTCTTCTTTATTTTAAAAGTCTGGCAGGCTCATGTGGTGCTTCCTTATGATTACATACCCAGTTCTTGTCCTGGAGTCTCTTCATTATTGCCTGTTACTGAATTTACTCCTTGGTTTGGAAATCCCTTTGGAGAACTGCTTCTTTGACCCCAGTTCTGCATGCCAGGCTCTTGCAGGCATTAATGGAGCTTCCTGAGTTATCCTTCTTCACTGCACTGCCCAATCTCAAGGGCTTGGTCTTTTATGCATTCTCTAAACTTTTACCATAAAATAATAATAACAGTTTTTTACAGCTCTGGCCATGTAAAATTGCAAAATGCCACAGGGAACACTAAATATCACATCATCCTGTGACAGACATCCTGATGTATTGGCAGAGGCTCTTGTCTTGAGCTAAAGCTTGACAGTCTTTACTTTGCGATTTTTCTAAACTATATGACATCTTTTCTCTTTGACACCTTCTTAAATTTTTTTTAAAGTCATCTCTTGAATGTCTTTTTTTTTTTTACCCATTCAAATAGTGAATTGGTTCATATAATCTAAACTTGCTAACAGAATGCCCTTCGACTCTGCGGCCTTTTCAAATGTTCTGTCTGGAAATCATCTTAACACAGTGATTTGTGAAGCAGAATGTATATAATTTCGTTTTAGGTGAAACAGTTAAGAAAAAGTCCAAGAGAACTTTTAAGGCTTATCTGCAAAGAAAGAAGTGACTAACTTCTGGAGGCGTGCTTGTTCTCTTCTGTTTTAAAATGTTGTGATAGAGAAAGGGCACATTCTACTTGGGCAACTTTGGGAACGTGAGGACCGGATTCGGTGCCTTAAGTGTACAGGGTAAATGGTTCTGTCAGGACTCGCATGCAGTGTTCGCTGTACTTAGGACGAGTGGAGGCCCGGGTGTCGTACTGTGTTTGGATGTGAGTGGCAGGCCTTCTGGAGCAGGGCTGTGTGTTTTGATCATCTTTCACAGGCCCCTTGACAGCAGACATCTATTGAGAACTCATTGGGAATTTGGCGCTGCTCAAAGTTGCAGAAAAATAAATCTGGACGGTTAGACTCTTTCTTTCCTCACCAGTTTTTTTTTCTCCTGCCAAGACTGGAGAGCATCACCTTTCAGAAGAACAGCAGTCTCCACTCTCAACCCCTAGCTCTGTCCACAGAGCTAGGAAACAGGAGGCGACAGCAGTGTGTGTCTGGGGTCCTTGGGGGAGAGGGATTCTTGAAGACGTTACTGGCTGTTTCGGACAGTACTGAGTCCAACTTTAAACCCAGTTCTTAGTACAGTGTCTGACTCAGTGACGGTGCTCCATAACTGTTTGGTGAATGAATATTTGTGAGTGAAATGCGCCCACAAAAATGGTTTCAGAACTCCTTTAATTTATCTCTTGCTCCTTCACCCTCTCCTTTATAAAATGCTGGTGGCCAGGGCCCTCACCTGTGGGTCCGTTCTCAGACTGTCATATTCACTCACCTTGTATTGTGGCTTTCCCACCATGTGACTTTGTGCTCCGCCTTTCAACCACATGCAGGTCTTCTTTGATGTGAGGATTGGAGATAAAGATGTTGGCAGAATCGTAATTGGCCTCTTTGGAAAAGTCGTGCCCAAGACTGTGGACAATTTTGTCGCTCTGGCAACAGGAGAGGTATGTCTCAGTTTTATTCCTTTCAACTGTGCACAGAATTGAATCTTCCTCCTTTTAAGGATGGAATACAGATGTATTCTGGGGGATGAATGGAGAGAATAGCATGGAAACGTATACACTACCATACGTAAAATAGATAACCAGTGGGAACTGGCTGCATGACTCAGGGAACTCACTGGGGCTCTGTGACAACCTATGGGGTGGGATGGGGTGGGAAGTGAGAGGGAAGTTCAAGAGGGAGGGCGCATATTATACCTATGGCTGATTCATGCTGATGCATGGCAGAAACCAACACAATATTGTAAAACTATTATCCTCCAATTAAAAATAAATACACTGAAAAAAACTTAAATGTAAAAAAAAAAGTGGAACCGGGAAAAAAAAGAATAAAATAAGAAAAGAAAAGAAACCGAAAAAACCAAAAAAAATTTAACTCGGTTTTCCAAAAAAACCGGAATCCTTAAACAACCAAAGTTCCCCAAAGGTCCAAAAAAGAAAAAAAGCAAGAAAGGAAAAAGCAAAACTCCCCCCTTTTAACTGGGCAAGGTGGGAATTTAACTCCAAAAGTTAATTTATTTTTCAGTCAGCTAATGATAAATATCTGTCAGTAAGCTATTGTAGGTACCTAATTTAGTTCTGTAGATATTTTGTGTAATTTTCTCATTTTGTCATTTCCAGATAAACACTGGGGTTTATCTTACAGTATGGGTTGTATCTGCTTGTGTATTCAATTGACATAATCTCTTTAGAAAGGATATGGATATAAAGGAAGCAAATTTCATCGCGTCATCAAAGATTTCATGATTCAAGGAGGAGACTTCACCCGAGGAGACGGCACCGGTGGTAACGTCATCTCTTAAACGTTTCCTTTCCCACTTTCCCAATTGAAACCTAAGACAAGATGATATGTTTACCCAGCATATTGAGCTCCCAGCTTGAAGGAACAAAGTAAAAAAGACAAACTAATTTTTCCAGAAAGATAAGAGGTTTTGGTCGGGGGGGCCTCATCTAACAAAACCTTGGCAGGTGCGAATGAGTGAGGCCTCCTAATTTTAAACAGTCTTTGCTTGGGTGTGCATTATCCTTCTTTAATGGAGATGTATTCATTTAGTAGGCTGTTTTGCAGTTATGAAAATCCTAGACTCCCCGTATGTAGCAATATGGAAAGATGTCTGTCATAGCAAGGAAAAGCCATGTCCCCTGGGGGGGACTCCAGCTGCAGGAGTGCATTTTGCAGGGGGTAGTGGTGGTCCAGAAGCATCATGCCAGAATGATGAGACTGGTACTTAGGTGGCAGGATCACAGGTGAATTTACCTCCTTCTTTCAAAATTCTCTTTTTATCATCAGCTTTTGCAGTAGTAAAAAATTAAGTAATAGACCACTTGTCACAATTACAGTATAATTTTTATCAACATTATTAGAATTCAATAAAGAACCCATAATTCAGTTTATAGAATTTCAAATATATCTTATTGTTTATCAGTGAGGATTCCAGCTGCCCAGCTCCCTGGTCTGTCTTTTCCTCAGAAATGCAGTGAGTTCTTTTCCTGAACATACATACAATATGGAACTACACCGAATTTTTATTTACTTCAGGTTTAAAACTTTTAATTCAGCAAATACTGGGTTTGATAGATAGTAAATGGCTAACGTTTTAAAGAAACAAGCCATTTTCAAGCATTATTGTTAATTTTATGTTTCCTGCACTGGTTTTTTAAATAACGAAGTGGCTGTCATTAAATGCTTGGATTTGCCGAGACACCCGTGGAAATGCTGGTGGGTACGGGAAGGTAGACTGGAGCAGGTTACTTGGCTGGATGGGGCTGCTGCAGAGGTGGGTCTCCGGTGGGGAAGCCTGCAGTTCCAGTGTTGGTCCGCTCGGGACTGGCACCCCACCGTCCTTCCTGAGGCCCGGCAGGAATGGGGATGGAACTTCACTGTGTTCTCTCTTCTGTTCTCTTTCTCCCTCTGCTGTGTGTGTGTGTGCATGTGTGCACATGCATGTACACAATTAAAATTCTCTGAGTTTTGGAGATAGGACCTTTTGGATCATTTAAATTTAGCCTAGACCTCTCTGTAGGCAGAACTTTCCTTCCAGGCCACTTCATTTGTCACTTACCAACCAGCTATAAATTGCTTACCTTTGGTATTCACTTCTGGTCCTTCTAACTGAGCCAGGATTGGATTTTTTTTTTCCCCCCTTAGGAAGATGAATTATATTTGACTTCTTCTACCAAAAAAAAAAAAAAAAAGGCAGGTTTCTTAAATTATTAAATATTAGTTACTCAGATAAATATAAGAGTTACAAATCAATGAAGTTGTTAAAATACCCAGTTATTTATTTAGAAGCCATATATCCTAAGATGTACACTTTAAGAAAAAAAATCATCAGGGTTCACAAAATGTCCTTACTATTCCTCCATTGCAACATTTTCTAGATAACCTGTTTGAAAAGTTAACTCTGTTAGCTATGAAGAGGTTTTGGTTGTATATGAATGAAGAAAAGTGCCCATGTAAGACCCAAGTCTTAAGGAACTGTTTTGCCTGGTCCTTCACAAGTACTGCATAGTAAGAAGGAGATAACCTGAGAGCTAACTGAGCCAGGACTTTAAGGTTGGCCACTGATGGATAAGGTGGCCTGCAATAGAGGAGTTGGGTGTCACGGGCACTCAGGGTTGGGGGATGGAGCAGATGGTCTGCACCGTTGTTTTATAGGGAAATGTGCTGTGCTAGATCTCCAGACCCCATGCCCGCCTTTGGCTCAAGGTTGGGTCCCTGGCTGCTCCCAGTTGCTGTCACCCTCTGTACCCTGAAGTCATCAAGCCTAATGACTTCCAGGCTGGCACTATTCTTCTTAGTACTGAGGCTCTAAGTGCTTAGAGAACAGAGTTGGAGCCAGAAGTTCAAGTTTTACTTTTTTCAAGTTTGATAAGCTCCCATTTGATAAGTTTGATAAGTTTCCCATTCACAATGGGAATGAGAGAACCTATCCTATAGGACTGTCATGAGGATTGGCTAAGGGTGTATATTAAGTGCATATTGCAGTTGGCTTGGCTACTGAGGTATGAGTGACCCAGGACAAGTGACCTGACCCTCAAGACAGAGATGGGGTCACTATGATGGCTTACCCATCATTCCATCAGACATTACGATGTCATCCTGCCCTCCCATTCCTTCTCATTTCAAAGTGAAATCACTGACTTGCTTGGTCAAGGTTTGGGTCTTTGTTTGAGGCCAGAGGGCATCTTGCCATCTTGTGTCATACTTAAGGCTTTTGTTTGTTTCTTTTGGTCCCTGGTGCTCTTGTTTCCTTAAGGAGTGAATTTTATTCTCTGCTTAATTTCTTTTTATGTTTGACCATCTTTTCCTCATCCCCATCTTCTATAGGGTTCTCTTAACCTCCACTCAAACCTTATACTTCCCTTTGAAGAATTTACTTTTGTATAACATCTGTTGACTCTACCCTTATTGTTTTGTCTCACCCAGGTATAAGCATTTATGGTGAGACATTCCCAGATGAGAACTTCAAACTGAAGCATTATGGCATTGGGTGGGTCAGCATGGCCAATGCTGGGCCTGACACCAACGGCTCTCAGTTCTTTATCACCTTGACCAAGCCCACCTGGCTGGATGGCAAACACGTGGTATTTGGAAAAGTCCTCGATGGAATGGTAACTTGATATATTGTTTTTTCTCATTCAAAGCTTTATAATGAAAGTACTCTTAGCGATTTGCTCTCAAATGATGCTTCTAAGAGAGCCATAATTATGTGCTGACTGGCCTCTTCAAAGGTGAATAAAGTATATATGGTACGTGGGTTCAGCCCCTGTGTTGGGAAGATCCTCTAGAGAAGGGCATGGCAACCCACTCCAGTGTTCACGCCCGGAGAATCCCATGGACACAGCAGCCTGTTGGGCTACATTCCATAGACTCAGAGAGAGTCAGACATGACTGAAGCAACTTAACACACAGACACATGGTATTTTAGTTGTTAGGAGCATTGGGGCGGAAGCTGCGGGAGTGGGGGACGGGGACTTGACAGTGAAGAGTTGAGTCCTTAATTTATCATACTATTAGATATAATTGGAAACTCATTTTAATGTAACCAAATGAAATCCTGTAGGTACAATGAAATATCATTTCAACTTAAAAAGGAAGGAAGTCCTGTCACTTGCTAGAACATGGATAAATCTTGAGAATGTCATGTTAAGTAAAGTAAGCCTGTCACAAAAAAGACTATGATTCCAATCAAATGAGGAATCTAAAGTGGTCAAATACATGGAAACATAAAGCAGGATGATGGTTTCCAGGGGCTGGGGGGTGAAGAAATGGGAGGCTGGTGTTCAATGAGCATCTCTATGAATCTTCAGTTTTACAAGATGAGAAAATACTGGAGATTTAGTTGCACAATAATGTGAATATGCTTAAACTAATGAACTTAAAGTTACACTTAGGGGTGGCTAAGATGGTAATTATATGTTATGTATTTCTTGTGCTCAGTTTTTCAGTCATGTCTCATTCTCTGCAACCTCATGAACTGTAGCCTGCCAGGCTCTTCTCTCCATAGGATTTTCCAGGCAAGAATACTGGAGTGGGTTGCCATTTTCTTCTCCATGTGTTCCTTAGCACAATTTCAAAATATTTTTAAAAACCCTGGGTCCATGTAGTTCAGTACAGATACAAGTCACTTTCAAAGACACACAGTATAACAACCAGAATTCCTAAAGAGAATTCAAATTTATGCTCCCATGTCTCAAAGAACATTAAAGGCATCCAACTCATAATCCACAGGAAGACTTCTTAAAGTCCTCATTCTCTTCCACTCCCTGCATTTCTCCTCCTTAGCAGCTGCCCAGAGATGCTCTTCCAGCTCAACTGGCAGCTGTAAGGTTTGCCGGGTACAATCCTGGAGCATCCTTGAGTCCCTTCCCTCTGCCACATTTCATTGTTTTTCATGTGAACTCATCCAAATATAAATAGACTAATCTCACTCACTGCAGTTCTCCCATAACTTCTACCTGTTATTCTGATTCTGCCCAACAGAAGGGCAGGAACTGAGCTGGCTGACTCAACCTCCCTTACAAGGCAAAGATGTGTTCAACCAGAACTGTCAAATAATTCTCACTGGCAAGTGGGATAGGGCTTTCCAGGTGGCTCAGTAGTAAAAGAATTTGCCTGCCAGTGCAGGAGATGCAGGTTTGATCCCTGGGTTGGGAAGATCCCCTGGAAAAGGAAATGACAACTCACCCCAGTGTTCTTGCTTGGGAAATCCCATGGACAGAGGAGCCTGGCGGGCTACAGTCCACAGGGTCCCAAAGAGTTGGACACAATGATTAAACAATAAGTGGGATGAGAAGCAATTGGGGCAAACATCTGTCACTTAATATATCACTTTAGGTCTCATCACAGTGAAGGACATGCCTACATTTTCATGAGCCAGTGTCCTCAAAAGAATGTACTTCTGAGTAGCAAGGAATCCTAGTCTCCAGCCTCTTTCTGCTTTTTAAATGAGCTAAACATAAACATGCATGTGTTAAACCAGTTTGGAGTTTTGACTGCTGAGTCTAATCAGGTTCCAAGTAGTTTAAATGTAAACTGACTCAAGTGAGCATTTTTGAATACAACATAATGCTTCCCTTGTGGCTCAGATGGTAAAGTCTGCAATGCAGGAGACCTGCGTTTAATCCCTGGGTCAGGAAGATTCCCCTGGAGAAGGAAATGGCAACCTACTCCCTTGCTCTTGCCTGGAAAATTCCATAGACAGAGGAGCCTGATAGGCTACAGTCCATGGGGTTGCAAAGATTCGGACATGACTGAGCAACTTCACTTTCACTTTCACTTTAATGCTAGGCTGCAAGAAAAATGAAGAGTATGCATTTGGGGCTTCCTTCTTCTGGTCATGGTTCTCCTGGTCTTCTGGATCTTATGTCTTGGTGCCCTGGTTGGCTGTATTAACCTCCCTCCACCATTGGCATGCATCCTGGGAGATCTGCTTCCTGGTCCTAGACAAACAGTCCTGAACATTTTATGAGTCATAAACTACTTCAAGAAGCTATTGAAAACTATAAACTCTCTCTAGAAGGAAAATAAGAAAGTGTGTGTGTCATACAGTTTCAAGGAATTTCCACAATCTCCTGACTTTCACCTCCTGACCCTTCGGAGATTGTCTAGGTGGTTTTCTTAACACTGGACCTCACCCCAGACTTGTAGAATCAGAACTTTCATAGGTGGGCCTGCAAACAAGCATGTTAAAAATTGTGGTCAAATATACCCAACATAGAAATGTCCATTTTAACCATTAAATAAGCAGTTTTTAACCTGCCACAGGTCATTCAGGTGTGTAGCTGCTGTTTTAGGTACACATATGCACATATGAACCCACACACACAATCTATTTAGAAATATGTATTATTATTAGAAGAATGCTGATCTTTTATCTTCAATTAGTCAGGATTAGCTGATACCATGTCCAAAGCACTGAGAAACTTTGTTGCTATTTTGTTTCAACCTATTTTAGAAACTCATGAGAGATCTACTAGCTTAATCCTTGCCTTGTATGAGACAAAGTGGTCCATGGGCTGTGAAACCATCCAGACTAGAGAACGGGGTCTTTGTACCACCAGTGGGGTAGTGAGTGAAAGTTGCTCAGTCGTGTCTGATTCTTTGTGACCCCATGGACTATACAGTCCATGGAATTCTTCAGGCCAGAATACTGGAGTGGGTAGCGTTCCCTTCTCCAGGGGATCTTTCCAACTTGGAGATCGAACCCAGGTCTCCCGCATTACAGGCACATCCTCTACTGTCTGAGCTGCCAGGGAAGCCCATGGGGTAGAGGTTACATTAGTATCAGACTCAACCTGTAGATTCAGCTTCCCAGGTGGTTCTAGTGGTAAAGTATCGGCCTGCCAGTGCAGGAGACGAGACGCAAGAGATGCAGGTCCAATTCCTGGACTAGGAATATCCCCAGGAGGAGGAAATGGCAACCCACTCCAGTATTCTTGCCTGGAGAATCCCATGGACAGAGGAGCCTGGCAGGCTACATACAGTTCATCGGGTTGCAAAGAGTCAGACACTAAATGACTGGGTACACACACGTACAACCTGTAGGTCACTGGCTGGAGTCAGCTTTAAAATGGACAAACCCTCTCCATTACTAAATCTGCTTTTTGGTTCATTTTCTTATGCTTAGACCTCTTACATAGTGGAGCTGAAATTATCTCAAATTCCATGTTAACTCATAAGTTGGGCTGTAACAAGTGAATAGAAATATTTTTTATTAGAGCTAGGTTGCTAATAAAAAGAAGAGAGGAAATACACAAATATGCCCTCTGATTAGTAAGCTAGTAGGTAAATTTTATCTGTTATATACAATGACTTTCTAAGTTTTCCATAGTTAGCTTGCGTGGTTTTTGTAATCATAAAAAACGAAAACTTATTTCCCATCGGGGCTTTCAGACTTCACATTGATTTTACCTCTTGCTCATCATAGTTGCTGGTCAGAAGTGATCCATGGGTCTCCTTTTCTCTCATCAGACAGTGGTCCACTCCATAGAACTGCAGGCAACTGACGGGCATGACCGTCCACTCACCAACTGCTCCATCGTCAACAGCGGCAAGATAGATGTGAAAACGCCCTTTGTGGTAGAGGTCGCTGACTGGTGATGCAACTGGCAGGGAACAAAGAACACAGTCTGGCAGGGGTGTGTGTGTGTGTGTGTGTGTTCATTCTTCAAAGTTACTGTTTTGCTTTGTTTTTTAACTTTATTCTGTTTTCCACTCCAGATTACAGGAAGGTTATAACAATCAACCACTCAAAATTTAGTTAGCATGAATTTTGGTCAATCACTTGTTTAGGGACTTTGCACTTAAAAGACATATCCCTTTCCTCCAGTGGTGCTATTTTTAAACTACAAAACTTTGTATTCGGTATCTTCTTTGGAAGAACACACACACAATGATTACTTTGCGGCATGAAGTGTGATCCCCAAATTGAGTGATGCTGAAGGTTTGTCTGAAAAAGATGGAGACAAGAAGTATATTATTTTGTATCAAACAGAAATTCTTTTCAGGTAAAGGGAGATTTGATTAGTATTATCTATGTCACAGGGACTTTTACCTTTGAAAGGTGCTTATTCTCTATATTAAATACTTTTTATATAGATCGATTATTTTTGAAAGACATTTTTTTAACCTAAAGTTCTTTTTAAAAACTAATGTACAGAAATATATGCATTTTAATGTCACCAGTGAACAGATTAATAAAGGTTCTGCAATTCAAAATATTAACACAACTGGATAATTTGCGATGAGAATGCACAGAAGTGATGCCCATCCACATTCCAGACACTCGAGCTGATTATTCACCCGTTTTTTACTCAATGTAATATGTTTAGAAAGTTCACTGGAGTCTAGTTGCCACAGAAAGGAATCTTTTTTTTTTTTTTCCCCACTTACATAATGGGGATGAAGATTCAGGCTATACTTAAACTGGGTGGGAAAATAAAATCCTATTGGTGGCTCTTGTAACATACCTGGCTATACCAGAGTGTGCCTAATCTCTGTTCAAACGGGAGTAGTGGGTGTCACAGAACTATCCCATTGCTTCTTCTGCAGGGCTCAAGCTGTGTTGGTCCCTCAGAATTCCATCTCTTGAGCACTGTTCTAAGAAAACTGCTTCAGTGAGAGAGAAATTGATGTGTACTCGTACTGTTGATGGGGGTGTTAATTGCTGCAAGCCTTCTAAAAGCAGTTTTCATAATTTTTCCAAAACAATTAATTAAAATCCCTTTAACATGCCACGTACCAGTTTTGAGTTTGGGAATACAGCAGTGGACAGTGACAGGCATCATGGAATTGACATTCTAATGATGAAGACAGATTAAATGAGGTGCTGTATAAAAGGGTGTTGATACAGTAGAGAGGACACAACAGGTTTGTTGGAGAGGCTGGGGTGTGGGTGATGGGGGCTGTTTAGGTGGTCTCCTGAGGGGACATTTGAGCTGAGCTCGGAGGAGACAGAGGCAGTAGCTGTCAGGCCAGACCTGGGATATAGGCCTTCATGCCAGCGGGGAGAGAAAATACAAGGATCCTGAGGTGCAATGAGAGGGCCCAGGACAGAACAGCAAGCCAGTGTGCTGTAGCCTGAGGGTCAGAGAGTAAGGCTGAGTGCAGAGCATTCGGGGCCTGGGGGGCCAGGGCACAGCTCTTTTATTTTAAGTATAGTGGAGAGCTCTTGGGCTTAAGTAGGGGGCATGATGTGATTTGCATTTAAGATTATTTTGCCTACCATGAGGAGGATTGTTACGGGCCCGGAAGGCTAAAGTATGAGGACTTCCCTGGTGGCTCAGATGGTAAAGAATGCAGGGAGATGCAGGTTCGATCCCTGGGTTGGGAAGATCCCCTGAAGAAGGAAATGGCAACCCACTCCAGTATTTCTTGCTGGGAAATCCCATGGACAGAGGTGCCTGGAGGGCTATACAGTCCATGAGGTCGCAGAGTCAGACATGACTGACTAAACAACAAGGCTAAAGCACATACCTGGAAATTCAAAACATTCATATCCATTGACATTCCACTCCTGGGACCTTGTAGAAAGTGATCTGAACTTAAAAATGTGACACTGTTTTTGGATCCAGTCCCCCTTGATCCAGAGATGGCCACCGGTTTTCTTCGAGGAATCATGTCATCCCTGCAGGCATTTCTTATCCTTAGGGCATGCTGACCCTTCAGACAGGGACATGCCTGGTCTGGCAAACTCATTCATTAACTCACTTGATAAATATTAGATGCTGGAGAGAGCTGCAAACAAACAGCCCTCATGGTTCCCTTGGAAGGAGACAAATAACTCAAATACATACCATGTGACTATATAACAGCATCAGGTGGGTATACGTCCATGAAGAGAAACAGCCAGGAGAGTGACGAGAGGGTGAGGAGGTGGTCAGGGCAGTCCCTGGTTAGGACCTGAAGGCAGTGAGGGCACAGCAAGCCATGGGGACGCTGGGGCGGAGGGAGCGAGGCACAGGGGACCAGAGCTGTGGCCCTGGAGGAACGGCAGACTGGAGGGTTCCAGAAACAGCCAGAGGTCCAGGTGGGCAGAGGGAGGGTGGTGGAAGAGTCAGGTGGGGGAGGTGGGGAGGTCCTGCAGACCAGCTGGAACATCCCCTTGCCCTGGCCCCAGTGACAGGCTCAGGGACGTGTGTGTGACCCCAGCCATCTTAGTGAGCCTCAGCTGTGAGCGTTCTCTGGGAAATACCAGGACAGAGCTAAAGGAAGAGGAGAAGGAGCAGGCAAGAGAATGAAATCAGGAAGGGAAGATGGAAAGATAGATGTTAGAAGATGCTGCTCAGTCTCCGAATCCAGCCATGCCTGAAGCCAATCTCCATCCCCAGCTTTTCAGTTACCCAACCTATTACGTTCCTGCATTTGCTTAAACCAGGGTGAATTGATTTCTTGTGACTTACAACCCAAAGCCTTTGTCTAATACAGCAATACTGGAAAAGTTTTATGTATAAAGATGAAAATTATAGCATTATTTACGATAGCAAGATACTGGAAGCAACTTGAATGTCCCCAAATGGTTGTAAAGCAATAGCATGCATTCATTAAGACTAATGCTACTCTTTTTAAGGAAAAAAAAAAGAGAAATTCTGTATGCAGCATGATCTCAATTATGTAAATACGTTCTCATAAAACAAAATCAACAAAATGTAGAGTGACATAAAACAAAGGCCAATGGTGGGATTTTTAAAACTCTTTTCTGTTTGTAATTTTTTAACTTTTCTGTCTTCTAACTTTTCTCTATTTCTTTATAAACTACTTAGAAAAAACTTATTAAAAACTTTTTAGAGGTAACATGGGAGGAAATTAGAATCAAATGTCCTCTTTACATAAAAAATGCCTTAAGTCTTCAAATGTCAGAAAGCACGTAAGCCGTTGCTACTGCCCCGTGCAAAGAACATGTACTTTTTACTGTATCTGCCATCTAGTTTTTTCATGATTATGAGCATAATGTGATTTCTCTAGTGAATAAACTGTTAGGGTGTCTATTATACCAGATGACCAATGAGTTAACATCATCCCCCTGGTAGAAGCCATTTATCCTGAGGGTCAGGCTGTATACTGAAAATGTTAGCAAACTGATGACTACATATAAACTACTACTTTATAAAAGTCTATGCTTTCTGCAAGAGCTTTTGAAATTGCTCATCATTGGCCGGTTGTGCTGCTAAAAGGACACATAATGTAGCCAATGGTGTGAGTAGAATCAGGACAATTACACTGGCTGCTCCTACCACCATGCCCAAATTATTACAACTTAGTCTTGAATCACTTTAAAAAACAATTTAAAACATTTTGGCATCCTTAGCCATGAGTTGTTTTATTCTAAGTGCTATTTAGCAGTTTCCTGGATTATCAAATAAGAATTTAGTAAAATTTATTCTTGGGTCAGATTAATTAGGATGACACTTTCAAAATTATTGACTACTCTATTTCTGATGAATTTTCAGAACTCACCAGCCTCATTTTTTAGTTCAGCCGTTTTGAGTTACTTAAAGACAAAAATATGGCAAGGATTTTATAGCAGGAAAAGGATTTGGTTTTGTTTTTCAACATTCCTATAATTCAGACAGCTGAAGAAATCTTTGATCTGGAAGGCTTAGAAATTCAAAGCCCCCTCAAGGCACTTTTTCTTTTTTTAAAATTAAGAAAAAGTAAAAACAGTATTTGTAATGGAAAATTTTGGTGCTGTTAAGTACATAACTGCTTTTACTGAAGTCTGCAATTCATCTTGTGGACTTCATTTTGGCCAAGTCTAAGTGTTAGGTGTGATATTAATATAACATCACCTACTTAGAGGTTTGCTAGAGTTACTGATATTCTAGAGTGATGGAAAAACAACTGGCAGTGCTGTAGAATCAGAGCAACTAGTCACAGGAATCCTGTCTAGGGGTGAAAAAGGCGACCTGACACGCTCAGTGGTGTCCGACTGTGCACCCCCATGGACCATAGCCCACCAGCTCCTCTGTCCGTGGGATCTCCAGGCAAGAATACTGCAGTGGGTTGCCATGTCCTCCTCCAGGGGATCTTCCCAACCCGGTGATCGAACCTGAGTCTCCTGTGCTGGCCGGTGAATATTGCTGAGCCCCTGGGGAAGCCGCATCTGACACATAGTAAGAGTCAGAACAAAGTGCACCACGGAATCCACAAGCGGAACTGTAAACCCATCACTAGTTCCATCAGGATGCTTGGGAGTCACAAATTTGGGGGACTTAGAGAGGATTCAACATGCCAATATCCTTTCTATTACCTATTTCTAAACTTTTATTAGGAATCACATAAGTTTCCACATTGCAGAGGGTGTGAAGGACTTTTTTCCTGAAGCATACTGGGCCTTTATAGTGCTATTAAAACTGAAGTCACCATCTGTCTTAAGTGATAAATATTATATCCTGTCATTTGGATAGATATCTCAGTTTGAAAACTTGAACCTTTTCCTTCTAACCTGGACACAAAAGACAAGTCTGCTTCCTATGCTTCCTCTAGGCACTAGCACCCACATTGAGACAGAAAGTCTTGAGGAGAGGAGTAAGAACTGGTCAGCTTGGAGCAGAGAAAAGTTAAGACTCGATTTATCCCTGCCTTGCTGAAGTAGAGCTCTCTTATAAAGACCCCAGAACTTTTGAGTCACCTCCAAGCCTGTACAAGCTGCTCTCTCTGCCTGGAGAGCCTGTCCCACCCCTCCCACTCCCCGACACATCCTTCTGGGCTCCCTCCTCGGTGAGGGAGGTGGTGAGCCTTCACTGGAGACTTCCTCACACCTTGTTCTAGCAGTTAACTTCCTGGACATCTCCTTTCTCCTCCTTGGACCAGAAGTTGCTTTTGGTCAAAGATTAGACCACACTCCTTGTCTCCCCCCAGGCAGTGTTTCATGGATCACTGATGCTCAACAGAATGATGAGAAATGGTAACCAAAAAGAATACACTTATAATTATACTATTCAGAGGTATTTAAACTTTCAGAACTAGAAAGAGTTGAGCTTCCCTGGTGGTTTAGTTGGTAAAGAGTCTGTCTGCAGTGTGGCAGAGCTGGATTCGATCCCTGGGTTGGGAAAATCCCTTGGAGAAGGAAATGGCAACCCACTCCAATATTCTTGCCTGGAGAAGTCCACGGACAGAGGAGCCTGGTGGGCTACGGTCCACAGGGTCACAAAGAGTTGGACACGACTGAGTGACTAACACGCAGCCACCCAGGACTAAGAAAGATTGTTCAACACTGGCATTTG